CGAGTTTAGTAAAATTTTTCTTCTGACAATGAATTTTTCTACCGATTTGCAAAGTTCGATATGAGCTGCTCGCGGTCAGGTCCAGTACCAATGATTCTGACAAAAACTTGCGACTGACTAACAATGTGTGGATTTTCGAGGCTTTGTGCAATTGGTACCGCTAGTTCAGCTATTAATGGTTTCAACGGTGCAAGGGTGCCACTTGTCAAAATTATGCTGCGTACTTGTGTATTCAATAAGTTGTTCCATCTACAAAGCAAAAGAAATTTTATGTTTTAAGCTTTTTATTGCTATTTATACATATACAACATTATAAAAATATGTTTATTATGATATTATAATATACAATAACATATATAATATTATTATAATTATTGTATAATATATTATACAATATATGTATATGGATTTTTTATTATTTAACATACCCGAAACCAGGATTAAAGCACCAATAGTTAATAACTTTGGGTAATTTCGACGAAACCGTACTAGTACTAGGCGCCTTTGATAGCCAACCATCCTTATTAGAACCTTTATGCTGCTGTTTAATTTCTTCAATTTGTACATGAACTTTAAAACTTTTGTGGACTTTCTGCTATAAGATCATCCTTCTTGATGAATACAACACTTAGTAAATTAGAAATCATTTCAAAAGAACCACCTTTACGGAAGGCACTACCTTGTGACTGAACAGTCATGTATTGAACGAGTCTTTCGAGTAAACTTATGGTGGCTGGCGCTATAACTGGGTTATCTGTAAAAACAAGCATTCGATTTTTTTTATCAATAAATATTTTAGGATACTGATATATAGCACTACTTTCGCCGCTGCCAATATCTCAAACAGGAACGAAGGGGGGTATGTTGTTCCTTCTGCTTTGTTTTCAACAATAATATTATCAATCTCCTTCTCCAGATCCAACAACATTTCCTTAAGTAATGCTAAGTCCTCCAATTTAAAATCTTTTGGTTCATCACTGCTCATAAAATCCAATGCATTTTCATTCATCATTGATTTCATCACTGCGTCACATCGTCGATTGCCAACGCTATGTCCGATGAGCGTATTTGCACTGATGCCGATTCTTCGCAAATTTTTTCAATATTGTGTGCCTCATCCAATATAACAATTGTATTGCTCAACTCCACTTTATTAGCTTTACGTGCTTTAGGGTCTAATAAATAGTTATACGGCATAAACGTGATATCCGCATCGCTGGTCAACTCTTTGGATACATAATATGGGCATACTTTGAGTTTTTGCCCCACTCGCACCAAATCTTCTATATCCATTACGGACGATTCTTTTAATTCAGCACTGTCTTTCTTTGACTCGACGCGATTATAGAATGTGCAAGTTCGCGTCTGTATGCGCAATTTACAAAGTTGCACCTTGTTGGAATTGCCTTGTTCGCGCATAACTTCTGGGTGAATGCACAGTTGATCCCGTGAGCCCAACACCACAGCGCGCATAAACGAGTACGAGGTACGCTTCAACTCCTGCATTGCTTGTGTTAATTGAGAATGCGTACGGGAGGCGTATATAATTTTTGGAACGCCCCAGTTAGCGTTTCTCGCCTGCATTGCATTGAATTCGTTCACTGCTTGCTGAGCTGCAGCGCCACCTCTTGCGTGGAGTTGCACTAATGATTGCATTTCGGATTTACGTGATAGCAGCCAAGCCAGAGATGCACATAAAAGGCTCAACGTTTTACCTGTCCCCGTTGGGGATTCCAATACTCCATTTGTGCCATCGCGCAAGCAAGTAATTACCTTTTCCATATACGCTGTCTGTACATCGTAGGGTTCGAAAGGGAAATGCACTGTTATCCCCGAGATTGTATACTCCGGCATTTCTAGCGATGTTCGACAACTTCGTAATGTTTTACTTATGTATATTTTCTGCGACTTTGCTTCAACTTCACTTTTCGTAAATTTTATTGCCGCCAAAAAATCCCCAGTCAGCTGATTTTGACAGTCCGACAATTCTTTTATGATTTTTTTTTTTTTAAATTATACAACACTGCGACAATTGTCAGGAATAAGGGTAAAAGCAAAAGCGAAACGTAAACAATTACCCAAAAATGCGGCTGATTGCTCAGCGTTTTACAAAAGACGAATTGAACGTAAATATTTCATAAAAATGGCAAAATCAAATAAAATGTTTGCCGATAAAGCCTTTGAGCTAATTAAGGAGTTGGAACGTTCATCACAGACCATCCCACCTTTCGACGTAAGTGCTATGTACAAACAAATTACTAATTTTCCAATTCAAACGCATGTGTTTCTCAGGACGACGGTGTTCGGCAAGTCTTAGAAGAAATCAAAGCAATTTTCGAGGAAAACTGTGCACAAGCGTAAGTACTAAGATACAATAACTCAAATCTATTAATTTCTCATACAACTTTTAACTTAGCGCCAACTACTCAACCTCCGGCGATCGCACGCTGTGGCCACTGCTCAACTTTCGACATGCTGCACTACAAAGAAACAAGCGTTGCCTACTAACATATTTGTACCAACGTTTGCTCCGTATAAAAGCCCTTCGTTGGGAATTCGGTCCAATTATCCCAGCAGACATTAAAGCTTCACTATGCGAACCGGAAGTTAACTTCTTTAAACACTGACTATTTTAGTGACAATCCTAAGTATCTGAGCTCATTGGGTCAAACAGTACTCAATGTGTCACGCATAGTGCCGGATGGTTTGCTCGTTTTCTTCCCTTCCTACCCTTTGCTCAACCAGTGCGTAGACGCTTGGCAGGCCAGCGGTCTTTGGGCTGAGGTGAGTAGGCATAAACCAATTTATGTAGAACCACGAAACAAGGAGAGCTTTACTACGTCTATGGAGGAGTTCTACAAAAGTATACGTGATGCAAAGGGTGCTTGTTTCATGGCAGTATGCCGTGGAAAAGTATCCGAGGGTCTCGATTTTGCAGATCGCAATGGACGTGCAGTTATCATAACGGGGCTTCCATTTCCACCACTCAAAGATCCAAAAGTGATTTTAAAGAAACGCTATTTGGAAGATAATCGCACGAAAGAGAACGAAGTACGCCTACTTTTTAATATGATATGCGTTCTCTAATAACATAATTTGTAATAGCTATTATCAGGCCAAGCATGGTACAGCTTAGAGGCTACTCGTGCTGTGAATCAGGCAATTGGACGTGTCATTCGTCATCGGCACGATTATGGTGCCATTCTGTTGTGTGATGTACGTTTTGAGCAGCCTAGTCAGGTGTCCCAATTATCGAAATGGGTTCGCGGTTATTTAGGCGCCTCTCCCAAAAGCGTGCCCTTCGGTTCGATTGTGCGAGAATTGCGCGAATTCTTCCGGAATGCTGATAAAACTGTAATTTATTATAACTTTATATAAAAAAAAATATTTTTGTGAAATATTATTTTTTATTTGATAGTTACCCAAACCGAAAGAGCGTAGCATAGAGACGCTTGTGAGCGAAACATGTGAAGAAGCTGGCATCGTGCAGAGTCGGTACTTCTCAGACCCTAAATTAGTGCTTGAAGCAAAAAGTAAATTTGCCACAGCGCAATCAATGGCAATGTAAGTCATATTTAATTATAAGTATTTTTTTAACAAATTATCATTCTAAGAATAAAAAAAAATATACAACCAATAGGAAGGTCGAGAAAACCAATTCGATTGAAGGCTGGACCCCAGATGACTACAAAACAGCCGCAGGCCGCTCACAAAGTAGTAAAGTACCGAGCGCAATGGACTTCATGAGTCGACTGGACACCAACGTAAAGGTGAAGTAACACAACTGCTATCGTCATCATTGTTCTTACACTGGCGCTTTTTCACAAATTTCTCGCAGGCTATAGATTTCAATAGTACCAACTGCAGCAAAGCCTCGAGCAGTGGTCAGGTTAGCATATTCAAGCGTGAGCGAAACTCACCGACTACAAGCCCGAGCAGTAGTTCAAGCGCCCTCGCCGCCAATAACAAGCGAAAACGCTATAAATTGGTTACGGGTACCACCAAAATACCTGATTCGCCAACCACCAGTACACAATCAACACTCGGTGAATTTAGTTTCAAATCCAAATCAATACTAACCAATGACACTCCAATGGTAGAGAAGGAGGCGCCACAGGAGCGAGTCGAGTTCTTGAGAATAGTAAGTTTAAAAATTACTTTGTGAAGTTAAATAATTTAAATTTAAATTTTTCGTAGCTGCGAAGTTCGCTATCACCAGACGATTTTAGTGCTTTTACCGCAGCGCTAATGGCATATAGTCGTCAGGATGAATTTGAGGAATTTCTCAAAGTTTTAGTACGGGTAATGGGCAAGCCCGAATTGCATTATATGTTGCGTGGCATGCGACGATTTATAAAATGTGCGCATAAAGCTATGTTTGACGAGGGTACTGCGCATATTTTAGCATAATTTGTTAAAGGTAGAATTATTGGTGGGAGGGGAGACTTTTCTTTTGTTTTTTTCGCACCAAAACAAAAACAAACCGTATCTAATATACTTTATTTTTAATCAGAATTAGTTTTTTATATAAGTATGTGTGTATGTATTATTTTTTATGTTTTTATGTAAGAGATAACCGTCTCTGCGAAAATGTTCAATCATTTAATATGCCTAGCGGATTTTTTTTTTATTACTGTGGCATGCTTACGGTTTTTCGAAATATTAACAAATATAATGCCATGTGAACGTATCTATAAAAAAATAATAGAGCATTTTTACTAAATGTGCTGGAAATGTTCTGTTGATATTCTTTGGTCGATATAAAAAACTAAACCGCGCTGAAATTAGTAAATCCACTCAGTTTTGTCATCAGTCTCATCCATGCCCAAGAAACGGTCAGTTTCCTATATCAGCTTTAGGTCAGGTAAGTTGGGGTTAATTTTGGATAAATAAAGTTTCACCTGCTACAATATTCTGAGTAAAAAATTTGGACCCTACTAATGTTCTTTCCTCATTTTCCTTTATTTCCGGCTTTTCTATACATACTAACACCAGTAAGGTTTCTAACTGGAAGACAATCACTTTAATTTTTTGATGATATTTATTACTCATATGATCCACTCCTACATACATAATTAATGTTTAACACTATAACTTTAACAGTCACTTTACATTTCCATGGGCATATGTAAATATCTTTCATCCTTGATTGTTTAGCGGAAGTATTATAAGTATATATGCACATATGTACATAATTGAATATACATATATGCATGTACATATCGCTCACCATCTTCAAAAGAGGCACAACTCCAAAATCGGATCCGAAAATACAACTGCTTGTGGACGGTACACATTCAACGCAATTAAGACAGAAACAGGCATTTAAAACAGTAGTTTGCTAGTTAAAGAATACAATCCTGAAGAAAAAAATATTTGCATTTATTGGAGATAAATCGTACGAATTCATTTACGCATAAACATAGACCTAAATTTTTTATTTATTTTTTTTTTTTGAGTTGTGTCCCCTTTGAAGAAGGTGTACGACATGTAAATGCATAATATAGTACATATATTTTATAGTGCGTGTAAATGTGATTGCACTGTTGGTAAATGATTCATTGTTTGTTCTCGTAAGTTCCTTTATTTGGTTGTAATATGCATACATACATACATATATGATTATATTATTAACATGTGCCTGACTGCACATTTTTGCAATTACATATGTACATGCATAGTATTTTTTACATATATTAAATTAACATAGAATTTCTTCTTCATTATGGTGAATTCTTTAATATGCGAGTGTAAAGGCACAGTTTTAATTTCTTAAGTTTTCGATTTTTCATTAAAATTTTGTTTTTTCTTTTGCGCCATTTCCTAATGCCGGATGCGGATATAGAGGCAAACAATGGAAGCGCACGAACGGAAGAAACAGGAAATAACAATCAACGTGAATTCAAAATTTCACCACTTGATGCTTGCAGAAAGCAAAATAAAAAGTAAACAATAAACAATTTGCTGTCTATTCAACACGCCAATGCAAACCGAAGCGTTCCTCAAAAGTAGTTCGATTATAAACACCGATTTCGGCCAACTGCTGCGGTTCTGTAAGTAAGCAAAGCGGCGTATATCCAACATTGCTGCATCGAACATTTGCTTCCAGCTGGTTAAGTCCGTAACGGTCATATGTATTGGCAGCTGCGGATCCGGTATATCTATGGCGGCCGACAAGCGGTCAAAGGCTTCAGCAATGGGACCCACCGACAAATTCACCCAATACTCCTCAGGAAAGCGTCTATTCTCACAAAACGGTGCACCCTTACGCATTATAAAAATGAGCATAAGTATCTCATAGCGTTCGCCTGCTTCGTAAAAACGTTTTGTCCGCGTCTTCTCCACAAAGTCGATGAGCAATATGAGTGGCGTGTAATTTTGTAAATGCATCAGCAATTCACGGTCTGTCCACACATATTTGCCGCCCTTGACATTGTTAACAGAGCTGGCGCTGGCCACCATACTTGTCGTCAGTGAAGCGCCTGTTTGTCTGAGACAACCGCTTTCCTCAACCATGACAGTGGACAGTAGCGTGATAATGCGATTGTGTGCACTCGCTTACTTACTTGTTGGGTTTGCTTGCGTTGGCAGTTCCAGGGGGCTGGGTGGTGGTTATAACCAGTGCTTACACGAAGTAGGTTAAGGTCGTATGCCTGTGTATGAGTGCGATGCACAAGTGGGCTGCTAAATTGGGGTGAGATCGAGGGCTCTTTATTGAATTAAATTGACATACAACTTTTAGTACTTTATTTGTACTTATTTGCACATTCATTTATACACATTTATGTATGTATGATGTACAAGTGCTTAGTAACTGTTAACACATTTTAAATAAGACTACATACAAGCTGTTGCAAACAAACAGTATTTTTTATTTAATATTTTTAACTATTGGTGGCGGTTGATGCAAGCAAACTACGGAATGCAGTCGAAAGCAACGTATGAGCATGCCCGAAAAGATGTCAGTGAGGATATAGGGTGCATACAAATTATTAATGGATGAAGGCAGCAATGTCAGAGAAAGCTAAAACTTTGTGGAAATTCAAAAGGTTTCTCGAGAGGCGAATGTCAGGGTAAAATCACGATATTTAATGACCCATTTAAGAAAATTGCATATGTATGTATCTACTGTGCAAATTTCTTTAATTTACAGAAATTAAAGCCCCTGAAAATCTTTGCCTGTTGAGGTCGTATTATATTAAGTTTTTTATATAATTTTATTTTTTGTAATAAACTATTTTTATAAAAAATTAGAATAAAAAAGGAGTAAAAAATGGGTGAAAGGATCTGATTCGATTAAATTTAAATCTGGCTGAGGATACTGCTAATCAACAACATCCAGCAAATGTTCTTGTTGCCACAACTCGTAAGAAAATTATCTATGTACGTACATAACATATCTAGCCCTAACCGCCAAAAAGTCGTAAGCGAAATTTCCAAAATTTTCTTTTTGATGCAGAAACGTAAAGATGCCCTATTAGATATGCAATTCTGCATCAAAAATAATATTTTGAAAACGTGTCGCTTAGGTCTTTTTTGTGGTTATTAATAATAGATTGCTGCTTACACATATGTGAGTGTTTGACCGATCTTCTCCTGTTTGGCGGTTAGGGCTCAATATATGTATATACGATTGCTCATGTTATAAGCCGCATTACCAAATACCCTTTAATTTTGTATGCAAGTCATACGACTGAGTGACGTTATTGCGCAAACGCTGCATCGCAATAAGACATGTAAGTCTTTTGCAATATTACTTTGACTATTTGTACATGCGTTGATTTTCAAAACTTAAGAAGTTTTATAAAAAATTTGATAATACGTTTTTATTTCATAACAAATGCATTTGTACTCGTATAAAAAGTCTAGCAGTGTTTTTACAATTAAAACTATTTTTTATATAATTCTATAATTTTTAAAATCATTGCAAACATTTAAGCAGAGTTAAAATATTTTCGAAAGTTAAATTCAAATCGATTTTTTCTTGGTATTGCTAAATATACCCAAGTATTTGCCCCGCGTCATCTCTTTAGCCTCGGACACGCCCAGCTGGTATGCTTCATCGTACGTTTTTTTGATCTCCATTATTAGGTTACTGAATGGCATATTGCTTAGCTCTGAAAATGGGGTTAATAACTTTAGTAAGGAATTAACGAATATACATACATATGTACATACATATCGTTGCCTTAATATAGAAAGGCCCTATCTCACATCGTCGCTGAAATACACAAAGCCGTAACTAACTAAAATCTTTTATTGCATAAAACGATTTGGGGCCATATAATGCGATCAAATGCATCATAATCAATTAAAACGTAAATTTTCGATTTTTAGTTAGTTACGGCTTTTTGTATATCAGCGACGATGTCAGATAGGGCCTTTCTATATTAAGGCAGCGATATATACAAGCAAACGTATGTATTTTTTTTTTTTTATTTAAGGTGCTCTTTCGCTAACGAATATTTTACTCTGAACTTACGCATCATGGCATTAATGTCTTCCTGCGATAGATCCTTCGACCACTGCGGCACCGGCGTACGTATTGGGGTGTCACTCATTGCAATAAAATTACTTATACCAGGAACTGCAAAGTCAACAAAATTCAAACTTCAAAATTTTTGAAACATTTTTTCTTTGTATCATGTTTTTCTATATACTATCTGCCGCAAAATATAAAAAAAGACATTTGCTTGTGGCCAGCGGAGATGAAAAATAAATGAAACATTGTCCAAAACCAAGATTCATACGAAAAATGGTGCAGTGAGTATAAGCAATACTGTAAATAACGCGTTTTCATAAAAGTGTGGTGATACTTTTAAAATATGTCCAACCGACAGATGAAGAAGGCCTCCCCCAACATCCTCATCAAGTTTAATGACGAAATTCCTTATACTTTCGCTGAAATCTCTAATGGTTCCGTTTTGGAAAGCCAACCCGCTTCCCCCAATAGACTTGGACTGACCGACAGGTCGCTCAAGAGATGCAAGA